TACCAGAAGTTATGTCCCCCGTGTGGGATGTTGGAGCAGCAAACACTATTTTATCCCAGAAACCGTGTTTAGAGTTGGGGTCTCCCAACATGGCAACTTTATGACTTGTGGACTTCCAACTCCCCAAATCCCTTGGAATTGCTGGGTGAAATGGAAATGGGGTGGGAGGGAACCCTGCCAGCCTTGAAACCGACATCATTTCCCCTTCATTGGGATAAATAAATCTATTTCTTAAGAATAAAAGTTGGATTATATATATATATATATATGCCATGTGTGAGTGCGTGTGCATAAAAAGAGACAAGAGACGGAGATATACACACACCTATCATCTGTTTCTGTGTACAGTATATATCAATTCAGAGACAGCAACAGATACACACACACACACACACACACACACATATATAGTACACACATATATTTACACACACAGAGACACATCTGTTGTCTACTTCTATGTAAAGTAAATATCAATTCCCCAAATGATATATACATAAAAAAGAGATGTTGATAATACATATATAAATGTGTGTGTGTGTGTGAGTGAACTAGAAAGCATTGGAAAGGATGGTCCCTTCCGTGCCTGCCTTTCCCACGCGCACAAGGCGGATGCTTTTAGGAAAACTGAATTTTTAGAGGCTTAACCAATGGAGGGAGGTTGCCTTTTTGGAGCCCATACAAGCCCAGGCTAGGAGAAAAGGCCTCTGCTAAGCCGCTGCCTCTGCCCCACAGACTCGGCCCGCTCGTTCATGAAGCGCAGCCACCTGGGACAATACAAGGAGGACCTGGCGAAGGAGTCCGACTTAGAGCAGAAGTTGGTGGAGGAGAAAGCCCTGGTGGAGGCCATTTCCGTGGGGGCCAGGTGTGAAGTGCGAGTATCAGGGCAGCCCAACAAACGGGGAACGGTCATGTACGCAGGTGAGTATTTGTGGGACTTTTATGTCCCAAAGATGCTTTTCAAAAGGCAACTGGGCTCTGTTGGTGGTGGGGTTTGTTTTTTTTTTTGAAGGCGTTTCACTTCTCATCCAAGGAGCTTCTTCAGTTCTCATGACTCTTTGGTTTTTCATAGGCTTAACAGAATTCAAACCTGGTTACTGGGTTGGGATCAAGTATGATGAACCGTTGGGAAAACACGATGGCAGGTAAATCCCTCTTTGCTCCATTGTTGGCTTTGTGGATGTCCACAGCCCCCCTCTTGGGGGGGGGTTCCTGAGTTTCTGGCTATGAAAAATAGGGTCTACAGGGGGATAATTTTTATTTATTTTATTTATTAATCACATATCTAGCACAGGGGTCTCCAACCTTGGCAAATTTAAGACTTGTGGACTTTAACTCCCAGAGCAAATCTGGCTGAGGAACTCTGGGAGTTGAAGTCCACAAGTCTTAAAGTTGCCAAGGTTGGAGACACCTGGTCTAGAAGAGCTCCAAAATCCCTTCCAACTCTTGTTATGCTGTTAACTCTGGGCCTGGTGGTTATTATTGCACAAGATCTACCTGAGAGACAGTGTTGAACTTGCCCAGAAGACCAAGGGGAAAAGGAATGTTTCCATTCTTAGGAGTAGAACGTTAGGACCTCTCTCTATAGTCCCTTCCTCCTGTTTGAAAATAAGCCAAACAACCCAACTTCTAATGCAAAATAAAAATGGATGGCAGGTTTATGCAAATCAGTCCAATTTCCATCAGTTTAGCATAAGTGCACTCAGGGCTTTGCACACACTGTTTAATTCTTTTTAGAACTTTTATGTGTTTATGTATGTAAATGATGATGTATAATATGGCTGATGATCTTTAGCAAACCCGGGTAGCTAACAACAATGACAAAAAAGACAAAGCAATGAAACCAATACAAAAAGAAAATCAAGAAAAATCAGGTATTTATTTACTGAAAAAGTTTAATATATTCTGTGTACGTTGATATAAATATATTTTGTATATTCATGTACATATACAAAAGGTAAGGGCTTCCCTCCCCTTGCTGAGATCTTTTAACAGAATCACAGTGTTGGAGGGGGACCTTGGAGGTCTTCTAGTCCAACCCCCTGCTCAAGCAGGAGAGCCTGTGTCATTGCAGACAAATGGCTGTCCAGTCTCGTTAAAATCTCTCTTGGTGGGATAAAACATTCTATTACCATAGTTTATCAAAATATAAAATACAGAAATACAAAGAGAAATGAAAATAATGGGAAAATAGGGGAAGGAGAGGGGGGAAAAGTGTAGGGTAAAGGAGAAAAGAAAAAGAAAAACATGGACTTTCAACTCCTTTTGGCACAGTAGAATAAGGCAATAACATAAAACGTGGACTATTTACTTTTATATAATAATATCTACCAGCCATTTCTCTTAACAACAAACCTACCTAGTCAGCAAAATCCCAAATCCATTTTTTCCACCTCAAGCACTAAGTACAAAAGCGGTTTCCCAATAGAAACAAAATCTTAAAATCTTTTTTTTTTCAGTCTGCTGTCTTGATTTGACTGCATTTGGCCCACTTGCTCATTTGGTGTTTATTCCTTCTTTCCTTTCCCTTTCCCCTTCTTTCTCCTCCTTTCTCCTCCTTTCTCCTTTCTCCTGGACAGCGTCAATGGCAAGCAGTATTTTGAGTGCCAGCCGAAGTACGGAGCCTTTGTGAAGCCTCAGTACGTGACTGTGGGGGACTTCCCAGAAGAGGACTATGGGCTGGACGATGAAATGTGAGGGGAGCAGACTGGGAGGAAGGAGACGGAGGAGGTCTCCAGGGCCTCTCCTTGCTGGCAGAACCCCCCCTCGGTTGCCGCTGTTTCCGCCACTGCGCTGTGATCCCGAGTTGGGGGGGCCGCTTGAGTGAAACGGGAGAACTGTGTGTTTCGACGTGTTGGTTGTTTGTCCCTTTGCCCTGGTCGTCTCTGTTCAGTGAAGATGCCGATGTCCCCATGCCCCATAGGTCAGTAACAGAGAACCAGAATGCCTTTGATTGTAGTAACCGTTTGGGGGAGGGGGATAACGGTGACGTCCCCCCAAATTTCCTGTCCCAGCGAGTGGAAACCGATAATGCAGGATTCAGAAGATACATGTATATACAACTCTGGTTTCAAAACAAAACAAAAAATCTAAAGCGAATCATTTTGATGACTGTGCTTTCTTTTTCTTTTTTCCATTGTGGGTCTTTGTTGTTCCGTTTTGTTTTTGTGCTGCTGGAAGATGCTATGTGATCATTACAAATTAAAAGTTTTGGAGGGGGGGTCAGATACATTCCAGACAAGCGTGCTTCGGTGTGAGTTTCTTTTTTCTCTCCAGGCAAGCAAAAACAGGCAAAAGAAATTTTTAGAAATCCAGTCTTAAGCCGAGCCAAGATGCTGGCAGTACAAACCACGATGACATCATATGAGCGATGATGGTGTCCCTAATGCAAGGGAGAAGGAAATGTGGAGAGGTGCATATGACATCACTTCCTCTTGGCTTTTGGCCTATCTAGCCGGAGGATTGGGATTCCATGACCTGTGTTTTGCAGCCCTTCTGTCAAGATGAATTTAGTGAACTGTGTCAGACTCCAAAACTCAAGAGAGACAAATTGTTCTGCCCATAGACAGAATCTTGCCATACTCAAGCATGCTAACCCCCCTATAAGCCGTATGCTCTGGGAATTATTGAGAAGGAGCTGTCTTCATCCTCTTTCTCTCACAAAGTCTCTGAGCTGAGTTGCCTCTTGCTTCTCTAGCATGCAGCCCCTCCCTCCTGGCAATCCGGACTACAGGTAGTCCCCGATTTACGACCACAATTGAGCCCAAAATTTCTGTTGCTGAGACTATCGTTAAATGAGTTTTGCCCCCATTTTATGACCTTTCTCAGCACAGTTGTGAAGTGAGTCACTGCTGTGGTTAAGTTAGGCACACGGTTGCATAGAAAATAATTTTACAATATTTTGAAGAAATATATATATAGAATAATAAGAGTTGGAAGGGACCTTGGAGGTCTTCTAGTCCAACCCCCTGCTTAGGCAGGAAACCCTACGCCACTTCAGACTAATGGTTATCCAACCTCTTCTTAAAAACTTCCAGTGTTGGAGCATTCACAACTTCTGGAGTCAAGTTATTTCACTGATTCATTGTTCTCCCTGTCAGGAAATTTCTCCTTAGTTCTAGGTTGCTTCTCTCCTTGGTTAGTTTCCATCCATTGCTTCTTGTCCTGCCCTCTTTGGAGAATAGCTTGGCTCCCTCTTCTTTGGGGCAGCCCCTGAGATATTGGAAGACTGCTATCATGTCTCCCCTAGTCCTTCTTTTCATCAAACTAGACACACCCAGTTCCTGCAACCATTCTTTATATGTTTTAGCCTCTCCAGTCCCCTAATCCTCTTTGTTGCTCTTCTCTGCATTCTTTCTAGAGTCTCAACATCTTTTTTACATCGTGGCAACCAAAACTGGATGCAGGATTCCAAGTGTGGCCTCACCAAGGCCTTATAAACCGGTATTAACACTTCACGTGATCTTGATTCTATCCCTGTTTATGCAGCCCAGAACTGTCTTGGCTCTTGTTAAGTGACTGGTTTTCCTCATTGACTGCTTGTCAGAATTTTGCAAAAGGGGATGGTGTAACTCCGAGACACAGCAAACCGTCATAAATACGAGTCAGTTGCCAAGCTCCTGACCATGCAGTTACTAGGATGCTGCAAGGATCGGTGTGATAAATGATTGTGTCACTTTTTTCAGTGCCGCTGTAAGTTCAAACGGTTGCTAAATGAACTGTTGTAAGTTGAGTACAGTTCCATCACAACCGTGGAAGAGCCACTTGCATCCCACCTTGCAATCTCAGCTACTTTTAAAATATGGGGGGGAGGACTTCAACTCCCAGAATTCCTCAATCCGTTTTCCTAGCTGGAGATTCCTGGGAGTTGAAGTTTTAATGGCCAATCTGAAAAATCGCCCTTTTTTTTTTTTTAAAGAAGGCATCCTGGCAACGCCCCCAGGGCAGCGACCAATTAGAAACGAGAGGAAAGACCTCAACGTTCTATCCGACCCCGGGGGCGGGGCCACTTTCCCGCCAGCACCGGGCAGTCGGTGAGCTGAGCACGGGCGGCCTCCAGCGGGAGGGGAGGGGAGGGGAGGCGGGGGCTGCAAGGGTCTCCGTTGCACCTTTTCCCCCCGGCGGACAGACGGAGATCCGGGGCGGGGGATCCGCACGTGGGAAGGGAGGAGGCTAGGAATCCTTTGCACGTGCATTGAATTCAGCACGTGAAACTCCCGGGTGGGTTTGCACGTGGGAAGAGGTCCGGCGCTGATTCTGTGTCCCGACCGTGCAGGAGGCAGCTCCGTCTGGACAGCCAGGAGGACCCCTCGCCGCTGGAAGGGCCGGAGCTCCTTTGCCCCGATCGGCTCGCTCTCTGCGCCGCCGGCTCCATGGCCAGGCACAGCCGGCTGCAACGCGAGGTGCTCGGCCTCTACCGGCAGTTCCTCCGCGCCTGCCGAGGCAAGCCGGGCTTCCTGCCGCGGGTGCAGGCCGAGTTCCGCCGGGCTGCCCGCATCCCCCGCACCGACGTGCTGCTCATCGAGTACCTGCTGCGCCGCGGGCAGAGGCAGCTGGCGCAGCTCCGGGAAGGCCACGCCACGGGGATGGGCCTCTTCGCCCCGGGGAGGCCAAAGCAGCAGCAGGAGAAGGACAAAGAGGACGCGCAATCCTGAACGGAGGATCGCTCTCTTGGTTGCCGCGCAGCGATGCCCGCTGGCGGCAGGAAACCCGGAGGAGCGGACGCTGGGTGGGTGGGTGGGAGGAAAGGTCCCCCTGTTTTGCAAGAGCGCCCGCGAACTGAGAAGCAGCTGCTCTCTCCGGAGTTGTGGCGGTTGTGTGCATTTGAAGCTGGGATTTGCAGCTGAGGCTTTTCGGGAGAAGATGGCGCAGCTCCTCGTTGCGCCCACCCGTCTTTCGTGGGAGGGGGACAGCCGTCACGTCTGCACGAGACCCCCCCGGCAAGCTTCCCCTTGGCATTCTGGCCCTGATGTTGTCCTAAGGGCCCCTCCTGCAAGGAATCCCTTCCAGACCGTCGTGGAAACGGACATGGGTTGGTTTGGGGTCAACCTTCCTCCGCCTGGAACTTTGGAGACAGCAGGAAAGAAGTTTTGAACATAAAGAGGCTTCCCCCCCCCCCTTAAAACACTCCAGGAGAAATACTATTGAACCTTCTCCTTTGACAATGCTGAGTAACAACTCTTTGACCTGGATTTTGTTTTTGTTTGGTTTAACACCTTTCCCTGTATTTATTAATTGCCTTCTATTGTTATTTTGTGAAGGGAATGGAGGCTTTTGAACAAAAAACAAAACTCCCGTTGCTAATGTGTATGCAGTACTTATTCTGGTTGTGTTTTGGATTGCAGTCTGTTATAAAGGAACATTCTAAAACACTGGTGGACGATTCCAGCATTTTCAACAATGAATTATTTATTTATTTATTTATTATATTTCTATACCGCCTTTCTCCCGTAGGACTCAAGGCGGTGTACAGTCAAGAAAAATATAGACACAAACATCATAAAATTGCTAATTAAAATTATTACTTAGTTTGGTCAATTAAATTATGATGCCATAAACAACCAGTTTCTATCTAGGGCTTTAGGAATCCTAAAAGAATTAAGAGGTCCACATGTCCCTCCAGGAAGCAGAATAAATTAATTGAAAGAAGTTCTTGGGATTAATTTTTTTTTTTTTAATTTGATTTATATGCCGCCCTTCTCTGGAGACTCAGGGCGGCTTACAATGCGTTAAGCAATAGCCTTCATACTTTTGTATATTTATACAAAGTCAGCTTATTGCCCCCACAAACTGGGTCCTCAATTTACCTACCTTAGAAAGGATGGAAGGCTGAGTCAACCTTGAGCCTGGCGAGATTCGAACTTATAGTAATTGCAGACAGCTAGTCTTAATAACAGGGTGCTTTAGACCACTGTACTACCAAGGCTCTTAATTAAGTTAATTAAAAGAACTTGGGATTAATGTTTTTTCCAATATTAAGCGGACTTTACTTTTACAGCATTTTTAACTGGCTGCAAATTCTATGCAAGTTATAAATGGTTAATATGCAAAGTGGAAAAATGACTATACGTGTCCTGCGGCTACGAATCTCACCATATCGGGCAGTGGCATCCTTTGCAAGTCAAGGCCAACACAAGACAGGTCAGTGCATGCTAAAGATGCACCTGCTCACCCAGGTCTGGGTTTTCTTTGTGGGTATGGAAGGCTTAGAAACCAGGGGATGGGAGTTCTAGTCCCACCTTAGGCATGGAAGCCTAAATTGGGTGGCGTTGGGCCAGTTGTGCTCTGTCTCTCTGTCAAACCACCTCACAGGGTGGTTGTGGCAGGGAAAATAGGAGTCAGGTTGTGATGTTCATTTAAATCAGTGTTTCTCAACCTTGGAAGCTTGAAGATGGGTGGACTTCAACTCCCAGAATCCCCCAGCCATCTTCAAGCTTCCAAGGTTGAGAAACACTGATTTAAAAGTTTTATTAGACTCTCCACTTTCCATAAAATAAAAGATTTTTCAGGGAATCCTCAGCCCAAAATTTCTGCTGCTAAATGAGACTGAAGTGGGTTTTGCCTCGTTTCACGGTTAAGTGTATCACTGCAGTTTAAGTTAGTAAAATGGATGTTAAGTGACTCAGGATTCCCCGTTGACTTTGTCGCAATGGGATCACATGACCCCAGGACACTGCAACCGTCATAAATATGGACCAGCTGCCAACTGGTGGAATTCCTGTCACGTGGCCATGGGGATGCTGCAGTGGTCATAAGTCACTTTTTTCAGTGCTGCTGTAACTTTGAACGGTCACTAAATGAGTGGTTTTAAGTTGATTCCCCAGATATAAACTCTTGTGGTTTGACTTCTTAAATTCTCCAACTGTAGAAAGTGTGGTTTAACTTTTTGAACCCAGCAACTGTCTTTTATAATAATTAGTCAAGGGGCCCTTCAGAGATCATTTAGGCTGACCCCGTATTATTTCACTCATATATCCAATTTTCACTTTACGTCCTACCTTAACGTAATCAACCTACACAATCTGCTAATAGTTTATCCAAGATCTCTGGGAGGAACATACAGACTTAAAAAGTGGGGACAATAAGGCCCATGAATGAAAACTCCCCATTTCTCATGGGAAGACCTGCAAAATGAGAATGACTTTCATTGGATGAGTGGCACTTTTTGCACTTCTGGGCAGGAAGCCCTAAATATTCCCCTGAACCACTTTTAAGCAACACCTTGGCTTGAGATACAGGTGAGGCCTGTTCCACCTTTTGCCTCCTATTCCAGGAAGAACTACATCTACCAGAATGCATTTCCACCCGCAAACCGCAACGGCTGGAGGCGGTGGCTACGAAATGATGGGCAGCCCGAGTCCCGCCCCTTTTTAAACAAACAGCAGCCTCAGCCAGTGGCTTTTCGAGCACGGCGCCCTCGTCTCCGCAAAGAGGCGGCGCTGGCTCGGAGTGACTACCCAGGCGACCTATCAATGCTAGTCCCGCCCAGTGCGCTTGACGCAACTGGAGACCGAGGTGTCCGATCCCCAGAGCGGCTCCCGGGCCTCTTCCTCGCTATGGCGTTCGGCGGCGGTTGGTGGGGCCGAGCCGCGGCGCGGGCCAGGAGAGCCGGCGGGCTGTTAAGGGGAGAGGCCTGGCCGTGGCTACGGAGGCCGACGAGGCCCAACTCCGGCCGAGGCGCGCCACTCCCGCCCGCCTCGGAGCTGGACAAGGCAGACGCCTGGCTGCTCCGCAAGAGTCACGAGACCGGTGAGGAGGAGGGGAGGGCGTGGCTGGCGGGTGACGTCATGGGGCGGGGCCGGCCGCCTACCTGACAGCTGGGCGGGGCTGCGACAGCTGCTTGCCTGCGGGGCGTGACGGGAGTTGTAGTCCCTCATAGTTGGGCTTTCTCCTTTTATCAGCATATAAATATATATATGCACATTAAAAATAGAAAAATTGATACCAGGTCAATAGCTTAAGATCAAAGCTAGCATACCACCAAAATTTTGATATGAATTGCAGCAATTCTTTTTCTTAATATTATATATTAATATAATAATATAATTTATAATATAATATATTAATATAATAATTCAAGGCCTGTAATATTGGGCTCCTGAATTGCAATGGATACTGTTGAATTTTTTTTACTTTTAAGTTAATTCGACAGTAGAAAATAATCTGTAATCCTGTCGTTTAAACATTGTACTGAGACATTGCAAGCTATCAAGATTTATACAAAAATAATGAATTACATCCCCTCACTTATCCTACTCCCTCCCTCCTCATCTTTTAGTTGTAGCTGATAACTTGTACATTTATAGTGTTTTATTCGTATTGTGTACATGTTGTTGTATTGTTTTTAATGTTGTATGCCCCCCAGAGTAACCTCGTGTCCAGATGGACAGCAAAAGTTTAATAAGGAAATTAATAATGAAAAGGAAAAAATAAGAAACAGTGTATCTGTGTATGACCTCTTGGAAGACTCTGCCCAGAATACCCTAAATTTTATAGATAACGTTAGATAGAAGGATGGGTAGATGGATGATAGATAGATCGTTTAAGAGATGGGTACATGGATAGATATAGGCATAAATAGGTAGATAATAGATGATGATGAATGGATGGATAGATACTGGTAGATAGATAGATGTTGGTAGATATGATAGTTTAACAGCTAGATAGATAGACGTAGGCATAGATAGCTAGATGATAGATATTGATGGATAGATTGATGATGGGTGGATGGATGGATGGATAGATAGATAGATAGATAGATAGATAGATAGATAGATAGATAGATACTGGTAGATATGATAATAGCTAGATAGATAGATACAGGCATAGATGGCGAGATGAAAGATAGGCAAATGATAGACAGATAGATGATTGACAGGCAGGCAGACATATATATATGCCGGATGGAGGAATGGATATGCAGAGTTGAGTGTGCTCTCCTGTTTCTGCCTTTCCTTCAGCCTTCCTATCCTGGTTTCGGAATGGGCTGCTGGCCACGGGCATCGGCGTGATTTCCTACATGCAGAGCGACATGGGGAGGGAAGCAGCCTACGGTGAGTAATCCAGTAGCCCTTCTGCTGGGCTGGTTGCCTGGAAGTGGCCTGGCCACAAAGAGCTCCCATCAGCATCAGGGCAGCTGCAGCTCCTGTCCGCAGGATAGCCGGAAAGCCAGCTCCATCTTTCCACCTTAGCATAGCTGAGGACGCCTCTTTCTTCTCTTCCCATGTTTCCCCCTCAGGTTTCTTCATCCTCGGGGGAATCTGTGTCTCGTACGGCAGCGCCTCCTACTTTGTCAGCCTCCTCCTCCTCCGTCGCACCATGATGCTCTCCTTCTCGGCTGCCCTCCTGAATTCGGCCGCCGTGGTGAGCGTGGCTCTCTTTTGGCTCTGCGCCATCTCCCTCTACATCGGCCGGCTGGAGGTGGAAATCATCCAAGAGGACGTCACCGACAAGAGGAAGGAGAACGGCAAGGCCGAAAAATGAAGGCCGGAGGGACTCTCCTGGACTCGATGAGACCCTATGGACGATTCGGAAGGGACCGCTCCATGGTGGTTGGGTCAGAGGAGACCATGGAAGAAGGAAGGAAGGAAGGCTGGCTCTCCTGCACGTGAGGGACAAGTGGAAGGAAGTGTGGCCTTTCCATTTATTTCAGATTTTTTGGATGGGGAGCAACGGATGGGAGGGGAAGGAAGGAAGGGCTTTGAAACCTTCCTGGGAGCAAATGAGCTCTGGAAGCATGAATACTTGCTACTTAAGGATCTTTGATGCTTTTAAGGAGTGGGCCTGCTTTGCAAAGAAACCCTCCCTTTTCTGCTTCGACCCTGCTTTCTGGTTTCAGGTGTGTGTGTGTGTGTGTGTGTGTGTGTGAATAAAAGCCAGTTGTCTGAATGCCTCCTGCATAGCTTATCTTGGCTTGTCCACTCTCGCTTACACTCCGGACTCTTTCTCCGTCTCGCTTCTGTCATTGGGCCACCTGCTGCTCTGGACATTTATATTAAAGACACACAAAGCAAATTGTGTATTTTCTAGGGTTTTTTGTGTGAGAGAAGGGAGGGGGGCCTGTTTTGAAGATATGTTTGGGAAATAATATCTGCTATTATGCTATTATTATTAGCTGCAAGAGCAAGGGAGGTCTTGAGGTGGGCGGAGGGAGACTCTTTGAAATATCGTGTTTCCCCGAAAATAAGACCAGGTCTTATATTAATTTTTGCTCCAAAAGATGCATTAGGGCTTATTTTTTAGTTAGGTCTTATTTTTGGGGAAATATGGTACCAAATGCACCCATCTGGCAATCTTAACCGGGGCTTATTTTGGGGGTAGGGCTTATATTACGAGCATCCTGAAAAATCATGCTAGGACATATTTTCCGGTTGGATCTTATATTCAGGGAAACAGGGTACAGGTAATCCTCAATTTACAACAATTTGTTTAGTGACACTTCGAAGTCATGACGGCACTGAAAAAAATGTCTTGTGACTCTTTTTCACACGTATGACCTTATGAACAGGTTGTAAAATGAGGCAAAAGTCACTTAACCAATGTCTTACTTAGCCACAGAAATGTTGGGCTCAGTTGTGGCCGTACGTTGAGGACTACCTGTAGCAAAGCCAGAGTCTTGCTGGCATTGTCTCCGGAGGGGGAAGAGTTAGTGCACTTAGAGCTGGGTCTGTGCCTCACCATTTACGGTGATTCCTTTAAATTTCACTCCTTTTGAATTTCAGGAAGCTCACTTGGGAAACGTCAGTTGATCTGCGCCAGTTGTAGGTTTCCATAAAATGAGGATTGTTTGGCTTAAATCCTGAGGATATGTGGTCCTTTCAAGGATTAGCTGGGGAGGAAGTCCATGGAGATTCTCCGTCATCCAGGACATGGTTTTCCCAAAGGTGTTTTTTTTCAAGACTGTCTTTGTTTTTCTTTGAAGACGTTTCGCTTCTCAGCCGAGCAGCTTCATGGATGAGAACTGAGCTGAAGAACAACAGAGCTGAAGAAGCTCCTTGGATGAAAAGCGAAACATCTTCAAAGAAAAACCAGAAAGTCCAGTTGCCTCGTGAAAAAAACCACCTCTGGGACTGGGGAGGAAGTGCTTGGTTGATCACGAAGGGTCAGGAGCAGAGGTGGGTTTTAGCAGATTCTGACCAGTTCTGGAGAACCAATAGCGCAGCGTTTCTCAACCTTGGCCGCTGGACGATGTGTGGACTTCAACTCCCAGAATTCCCCAGCCAGCTCTGCGATAGCGGAAAGTTTGAGTAGTTCCGAGAACTGGTAAATACCACCTCTGACCAGCCCTGCCCCCATCTATTCTCTGCCTCCCGAGTCCCAGCTGATCAGGAGGAAATGGGGATTTTGCAGTGACCTTCCCCTGTCATGCCCACCTAGCCACGCCCACCAAGCCAAGCCACACCCACCTAGCCACGCCCACAGAACCAGTAGTAAAAAAAAATTTGAAACCCATCGCTGGTCAGGAGGATTACTTCGGTTACTTAATCCAAAAGTGGGATCTGTGCACTTTCCGCCGTGCTCTTAAGACTCTCCTATTTCAGCAAGCCGGCCTAATCTCCCCTGTTTTAAAATTCTTTTAAATCAAAATTTTAATCTGTTTTAAATTATTGGGATTTTTAATTGTCTCGGGCTAAATTATTTAATCTGGTTTTAATTATGTTCTTAACTTTTGTATTTATGTATTTTATTTTGTGCCTGTTCACCGCCCTGAGTCCTTCGGGAGTAGGGCGGTATATAAATCTAATAAAAGAAAGAAAGAAAAGAAAGATCTGTTAAGGACAAAATCCAGACAAGACACATGACAAAATAAGATTTCCCAGTCTGCTGAAATCGTTTTAGAAGGCAGGAAAGAATTCTTGTTTATTCATAATGTTCTCTCGAGTCCTGGATTGCCAAAAGAAGCTGCAAAATGTCGACAAGAAATTATAGCTACCTTCAGCTACCCGATGCGAACAGTAGATTAATAAAAAGAAAAAGAAAAAAAAACCACAGACGCGTACAGTTCTTTAGCGACGAGTTATAGAGGGAGGGGAAAAAATTCACATTATCCAAGTGCTACAATCATCGGTGGGCGCCATCCGTGTCCCACTGACATGTACAGATAGTCCTCGACTTACGACCACGATTCAGCCTCAAATCTCTGTTGCTATGTGAGATCTTGAGTGAGCTTTGCCCCATTGTACGACCTTTCTTGCCGCCGTCATTAAGGGAATCACTGCAGTGGTTAAGTTAGCATCCCAGTTGTTAAGCGAATCTGGCTTCCCCCTTGACTTTGCTTGTCAGAAGGTCGCAATGTGGGATCACGTGACCCCGGGACACTGCAACCGTCATAAATACGAGCCGGTTGCCAAGAGTCTGAATTTGGATCACCTGACCATGGGGAGGCTGCAACGGTCGTAAGTCTGAAAAACAGTCATTAGTCACTTTTTTCACTTCGGAAGTCACTAAGGTTGTAAGTCAAGGGCTGCCCGTACAGTTTATTTTGAATAAGTGCTTAAAATTACAGCGTTTGCTCCATTGCCATCTTTACCCGCGTTGCCCTGACTCACCCCCTTATCTAAGCCAGCTTGAACCCGGGTCCAGCCCTTCTCATCTGCTGCTGGGACTATAACATAGGAATTGGGGAAAGAATTGAAGAGGATTTGTGCATAAAGAGAGGACCAAAAGTACCTTTATTGGGGGGCCAGATCCAAAAGGCAACCTAGATTATTATAAGTGCCAACGAAGGACCTCAAGAGGTCTCTTAATAAAGAGGTGGCATTTTGCATCCGTTCAATTGCTGGATGGCTAGGACAACCGTTCAATAACAAACGGTTATTAAACAATTAAACAGAACAATTTAATAGCTCAGGATTAACTTGATATCACTGGGAAAACCACCTTCTACATCCACGTAACACATTGAGTGACGCGTGTACAATAGGGGTGTCCAACCAGGCACTTTTAAGACCTGTGGACTCCCAACTCCCAGAATTTCCCAGCCAGCCATTCCACAAGCCTTAAAGTTGGCTGGCTGGGGAATTTATTTATTTATTTATTATATTTCTATACCGCCTTTCTCCCGTAGGACTCAAGGCGGTGTACAGTCAAGAAAAATATAGACATACAAACATCATAAAATTGCTAATTAAAATTATTACTTAGTTTGGTCAATTAAATAAAACCCAGAATTAGATAACATTTTAAAAATCATTCACATGTTGGAGTTCTGGGAGTTGGAGTCCACAGGTCTTGATGTTGCCTAGGTTGGACCTCTCTGGTGTAGGAGAAAGATAGGCAGAGTCTGGAGGTGGAGTCAAGAGAGGAACCAGCCTGGAATCCTTACATCCTCACAAACGGTCCAGGTCCAATACTTCTTGAATTCTCTTCACCCTTATCTAGCTCCAATTTACCGCTGACCGTGAGTTGACTAGATTCTTCAGTACACACATGAGGAATAAATCAGCTTCACGGGAACGTGACCTGTGGTCCTGCTTCTTCGGGCCTGACCATGGCAGGTTCTGCATGTTCAACTTGATCCAAGCTCACTCCATCTTAAGATGGGTTCAGAAGTGGTTTCACCATTCGCTCCAGATCCCTGGGAAGAAGGAGAGAGCCTTTCCGTCACAACTGAACATAAGGAGTCAAGCCATGCCGTCGGCTGCCTTCCAAAGACATCCAACTATTTCCCTTAAAGCAAAGATCGGCAACTACAGCCCCTTTATGATTTGTGGACTCCAACTCCCAGCGTGGCTGGCTCAGGAATTCTGGGAGTTGAAGTCCATAAGTCATAAAAGGGCCACAGTTCCCCACCCCTGCCTTCAGGGATAAATTCCCTCATCCCCCCCCAAAGATCAAGGTCAGCGTTATCTGCAAAATACAAGTTGGAAAAAGTTTGCCGATTTGCACAGCAAGCGCACGAGGCCACATTCCTAGAAGGATCCATTCGCACAAACTTTCTATCACGTTGGTTTGATTGATCCTCGCGGTGTCCTAATATGGATTTGTCCCTATTGCATATTTCAAGGATTAATTCAACGTGAGCAAAACAACATGAACCGCTGGCGTGACAGGCTGGAATAAGCACATTGAGGAGAGGCATGGTGGGCAACGGCGGGCAACTTTTCATTGGCACATAAATGCAAGTTATATTTGACCACCGACAAACCCCCCTTTCCCCTTGTTTTTAAAATCAGTCAAGTTCTAGCAGCAGGAACACAGGTACGGAAGTGCATAGGAGGTGCCCCTCAGTCCGTGGGACCTTTCTCCTGGAAGTTTGGATAGATTCTCCACATTTCTCCAAGCAAAATCCTCCACCAAACACCCCGTTTCAATCCACCACCGATCTTTAGAAGATGGCGATGGGCCATCCACTCTCCTTCGTGCTGAGGACTAGGAAAGGGATGCGATGAGCAGGTACGTAGGTAGGTAGTAATTTCTTCCAGGACTAAATATTTCTTCCCCTGGGCTTCAAGAAGGCTGGTGAGCACCCCAGCACCGAACCGAGCAATCTCAAGATCCGATCGCTCTCTTCCAGGCAGGATTTAACCGTGGTTCTCTGGGCAAAGAGGACACGGATTTGATCACGGACCATTGAGGGGCGTTAATCCTCCTTGCGTTCCAGAGCTGACCCACTGTGGATCCCCCCACTGGCCACAGAGAAGGGCAGGGTGGAAAACAAAGAGTCCGCAGCTGCAAAGGCTCCCCCGGAAATCTGGGCCAAGCTAGCCGAGTTCCCAAACGGGCCCACCATGTTCAACCGCTGCAGGTGATGGTACATGATCTCCCGGGAGGTCTTGGCCTCGGCACTGCTGATGTCCATGAGGCTGAGGGGGTGGTGGGAAGGCGGCAGCATGTTGCTCGGCATGGCCAGGGTCATGTCCGCGGGGGCGTAGCGAATGGTACTCGTGGTGTAGAGTCCCGGGGAGCCAGCCGGGGAGCTGCTGTGCGGATTGCCGAGCTGATGCATCAAAGGGACGACCACGTTGCTCGTGTGGAACCTCTGGAGAACTTCCATCTCCGTCGGGTAGATCAGTGGGGTGAAAGGCGTGGCAGTGCCCCGGTCCTCACAGGGGGAGCCCGAGAGCGGAGGCGAGAGCGTGTCCCCCGAGGAGGATGGAGCCGCCCGGGGAGAGGCGCCGAAGGGCCCCTTGGCCGGACCGCTGTCCATCTCGGGTGGGGTGAGCACCGAGTCGGGGATGGAGACATACAAGTGCGAGGACGCCTGTCTCACTACGGGCTTCTCCAGCCGAAGGGCTTTGTTCACAGGGAAAGGACTGGCCTTCGCCCCAGGACAGGTCCAGAGCCCCCCTTTGGCCTGGAGCCCCTGCTCCGATTTGATGCTGAGAGCCGGACTGGCTCTGAGGGAGGCGCCCTTTTGGGTCTGGATGACAGAGGTGAACTCCGATGTGCAGGGTCGGCCGGGAACCATGGTCTTCCGTCCACCGGTCTTGCAACCATTCACCTTCCTGGCCAGGAGCCCCGTCTGCTGGGGGACCATCTCCGGCTCTGAATCGCTGCTGCTGTCGGAGTCCTCGGAGCTGGTCAGCGAGGTCTCCTCCTTCCCCTTGGACGGGGGGCTCTCAGGAGGGAACTCCAGTTTGATGCGCTTCCTGGGAGGGGTCTCTGTGTTGCTGCCAGCCCCCTCCTCCGATGCCGCCTCTTCTGGATATTTGGTTTCAGGACCACTGGGCTTGCTCTCCACCAGGTGGCAGTGCCGCCCCATTTCGGCCACGCTCCTTGGGTAGGACTGGGCCAGGGTCCCCGGGGGTTTGCTGGCCGGGCACGGCTTCCCCTGGTCACTCTCTGAAAAGGAGAAAACAGGGAAGTGTCAACCAGACAGGGAATGTGTTTGGACCAAGCTCCCCAAACACGAAAAAACCTCTTAACTCAAAGATTCCTTTATTAGGAACGCCAGCAGCCCCGGCAAAAAGTTTATTTCTCACCGCAGGCTAACAAATTCGTCCGGCCGGAAGATGAATAGTGGTCTGCCACACCTATTCATCTCCGCCCCCTGCCTTTTATCCCCAGAACTAGGGTGCAGTGGTGGCACTTCCTTCCCAAGGACCGGCCCACGGATTTCCACTGCTCTCCTCTCCTCTGCCTTCTCTCAGGCACTGGACCCAGCTGTTCCTCCTCTTCCTCATCAGCCACCTCCAGACCTGGGGGCTGTTGACTCTCCATCTGAGAGTTGAAGGACGGCCCAGACTCCGCCTCTGTCTCTCTCTCTGACAGCTCCACTCCCTCTTCCCCCTCGGAGCTTTTGGGTTGCCTTGATGCTGACCCTGACTCCCATGCCTCCTCCTCCTCCTCATCTGATTCGGCTGCTGGAGGGGCCAACAGGCCACAATAGAATGCCCTAACCATCCATCCACCTGGCATCAGAGGGAGACCCAACTCCCTTTACTAACTGGATGGAAGTATGGACTTTGGTAAGACTACGCTTGGTATCCGGTGTCCAGTTTTGGTGCCCACGACACAAAAAAGATGTTGAGACTCTAGAAAGAGTGCAAAGAAGAGCAACAACGACAATAAAGCAGAGGTTTCCAATCTTGGCAACTTTAAGCTGGCTGGGGAATTCTGCGAGTTGAAGTCCACAAGTCTTAAAGTTCCCAAACTTGGACACTCCTTGTGTTAAAGGGTCTGGAGGCTAAACCATACGGACGAATGGTTGCAGGAATTGGGTATGTCTAGATTAAGACCTCTTCTCCCCCTCCCCAAAGTCTTCTTCCACCAGCAAGGCACCACCAGCAAGGCACCCTCAAAAGGTGGCACCCCCTTGCATGCCCTTCCAGGACATTCACCTTTGAAATCCGTTCCTGCGCTGGGCGCTTCCGTCTGTCTGGCGGGGATGCCAGGAACCTGGAAAACATCCAGAGCGATGTTCTTGCATTCTGGTTTGCTGGAAAATATTTAAAAAATATAAACAGCAGGAGGTTATTATTGTATTTATTTGCATCACACTGTTTTTCTTCTTTTAAATTTTGCTGGTCTTGGACCTAATCAATGTGGATTGACTGATGGATCTTTGCTTGTGATGCCAAGGTCGGTCCACCACTTGGAGGCAGCAAAGCCCCTTCAGCTGCCCCCTCCCCAAGCTAAAAGAAATGCAAATTGCCTCCTGATTTGCAAAAGTAAGAGGCAAAGGATTAAAATAACCGCCTATGAATCAGGAAAGATCAGCGGAAAACCCACTTGAATGGGGCTGACACAGCCAGCCACCTGCAGCCGGAAGCAGCCGAAGGAAGGGACGAGGGCCACAGTTGCTCCATTGTCCAAGAACAAATAGAGACAGATTAAAATTGCAAACTCCTTGGAAAGAAAGAAAGAAAGAAACAAAGAAGAAAGAAAGAAAGAAAGAGAGAGAGAGAGAGAGAGAGAGAAAGAAAAGAAAGAAAGAAAGAGAGAGAGAGAGAGAGAGAGAAAGAAAGAAAGAAAAGAAAGAAAGAAAGAAAGGAAGGAAGGAAGGAAGGAAGGAAGGAAGGAAGGAAGGAAGGAAGGAAGGGACAAAGGAAGGAAGAAAGGAAGGATAGATAGAAAGAAAAAAGGAAGGGAGGAAGGAAAGAAAGAAAAAGAAAACAGAAAGAAAGAGAAAGAAAGAAAGAAAAAAGAAAGGGAGGGAGGGAGGAAGGAAAGAAAGAAAGAAAGAAAGAAGAAAAAGAAAGGAAGGAAGGGACAAAGGAAGAAAGGAAGGATAGACAGAAAAGAAAGAAAAAAAGAAGAAAGGAAGGGAAGAAGGAAGGAAAGAAAGAAAACAAAGAGAAAGAAAGTAAGAGAAAGAAAGAAAGAAAGAAAGAAGAAAGAAAGGAAAGAAAGAAAGAAAGAAAGAAAGAGAGAGAGAGAGAGAGAGAGAAAGAAAAAGAAAGAAAGAAAAAAAGAAAAAAAGAAAGAAAGGAAGGAAGGAAGGAAGGAAGGAAGGAAGGAAGGGACAAAGGAAGGAAGAAAGAAGGCCTTTGCATGCAGAAGGGGGCAGTTGGGATAGAGTGGCGGCGGCGGGGGTCTTACGAGGGCTTCGGGGAGGCGCCCATCCAAAAAAAATAAAAACCCAGGCGCGACTTTACCAAAAAAAAAGAAGGAGCCGCTTCCCTTGATAAGCTGAACGTCAGGAAGGTCGCGGCGCCGTGTCTGGGACACCTGAGCTACGTCCCCCCCCGCCCCCAACAACACGCTTGGCCGGCTAGTGATTTTGTAGAGTATTTTCCGGGCTCCCGTAATTTCAGGGCGGAAAGAGGTTGGGGGGGTTCTCCTCCCCAGGCTAAGCCTCCGAAAAAGAGAGGCGACGGAGAACAGGGAGCGAAGCAGAAGGAAGCCTCAAAAGCAGAAGATAAGAACCGGGGCTAAATTCATCCAACAGGCTCCCAACTTTTTCACTTAAACCGTTAGAATATTTATTATTAATTTATTTATTGGTTCGATTTATATGCCGCCCTTCTCCGGAGACTCAGGGAGGTTTACAATGCGTTAAGCAATAGCCTTCATACTTTTGTATATACCTGCTTAGTAGGGCTTTCTCCCCCCCCCAAAGCGGTGTTCTTTTTTTTTTTTTTTAAATACAAAGTCATCTTATTGCCCCACAATCCAGGTCCTCATTTTACCTACCTCGGAAGGATGGAAGGCTGAGTCACCTTGAGCCTGGTGAGATTTGAACTCGCAGTAATGCAGGCAGCTGGCAGCTAAGTGCTACTTAACAGCACTTTAGTCCGCTGCACACCACAGGCTCCTTACCTTGTAAGGAAATATTTCCACAAATACCTTGTGCCAACACAGCCTTTGCTTTTGGTTTCGGGGGTCGGCGAGAGGTGTTTGTTGGTCGTGAGGCTACAAAGACATCTCGGGTGTGTGTTGTGTCTCTGTGTGTCTGTGTGCGTGCGTGTGTCCGCACACCTCTATCTCAAACAAGCCACTTGAAGGATGTTGATTGACTCTTGATTGTCACCCAGACAAGAGCTCGGAACGAGGCGATTCCGGATGTTTGGTTCTCTCCATTTTCAGAGGGAAGGGGGTCAGCTTCGGCTTTTGACCAAAAAGAAGCCCAAATCCCTCTTTCTCTCCTTCTTTCTCACCTTTCCTGCTCTCTGGATCAAAAGGACCTTACAGAGGTGGGTTTTTTTTTTTTTTACTATGCTGGGCAATCCACTTCGTGCTTCTCTCTCTCTCTCTCTCTCTCTCTCTCTCCCCCCCCCCACCCCACCCAAGCAACCGGAGAGAGCGAGATTTTGAAGGAGTCGCTCTAAAACATAAAAAAACTCAACCTAAAACTTTGGTCGCGTGTCTCCCCCCCCACCTTTCCAGCTTTGTTTTTCTTTTTAAACGGCAAAGGGGAGACTGGTTAGGCTAAAAAAAACAACAACCCTGTTTGGAGCGCGCTTGAACACGCACGTTGAGGCCCGCTTCCCACACCCCCCCCGCCCCCCCCCCCCAGGAAGGATGACTCCTTTTCAGACATAAAGTTGCAGGGTCAAAGAACTGAACACGGAGAAGATCCTGGGGGTTTTTTGTGTGTGTGCACGCAGATGTGTGTATCGAGGGGGATAGAATAGGAATAGGAATAGGAATAGGAATAGAATAGAATAGAATAGAATAGAATAGAATAGAATAGAATAGAATAGAATAGAATAGAATGTAGAGTAGAGTAGAGTTAGAGTAGAGTAGAGTTGGAATAGAATGTAGAGTAGAGTTTAGAGTAGAGTAGAATAGAATTAGAGGAGTAGAGTAGAGTAGAGTAGAGTAGAGTAGAGTAGAGTAGATAGAGAATAGAGAATAGAGAAGTAGAGTAGAGTAGAGTAGTGTAGAGTAGAATAGAGTAGAGTAGAGTTAGAGTAGAGTAGAGTAGAGTACTGCATAGAATAGAATACTGCCTAAATAGAATACTTGAATAGGAATAGAATAGGAATAGGAATAGGACTAGGAAATGGAACAGGAACAGGAACAGGAACAGGAACAGGAATAGCAGGACTAGACTAGACTAGACTAGACTAGACTAGAATAGACTAGACTAGCTAGACTAGACTAGATAGAACAGAACAGAACAGAACAGAACAGAACAGAACAGAAGAAGGTGATGATTACTTCCCCAGTCAACGGTGGCTTGGCCGGGGACGGGGTTGCGTGGGGAGGGGGCGGGGCCCCAGTTTCGACTTTGTCAAGCTGTTCCAGGATTGTATCGCTTTACCAACCGCTTAATTCGTCTTTGAGTTCGCGAGTCCCGCTTGCCGCAAACCTTTCCGAGACAAGCACCCTCTCTCTCTCCCTTCGCCCTAAGGGGCCAGCCTACAGAAAACCGCGGGGGTGTAAGGAAGTCTATGCTTCTTTATCAGCAGGCGGAAGCGAAGCGTTAAAAGATATGCCAAGTGTGCCTTTTAAACCCACCACTCTCAATCCACCCCAGCTCTTCCAAGAACCGCCACGCAGACCCGCGCACAACTTCCCAGGGCCCACAATCCTCGCCGCCACCACAAAGTTTGTGCCCCCAAGTTCCCACGCTGGAAAGACAAAGGAGCCCTCGGTCTCGAAGGAATAGAAGTTGTTGGAAGCTGTGAAAAAAGCTCAGGGGGCTTTCCCCACTTAGTGTGGGGATGCAGGCCGGCGGGGAAGGTAAGAGAAAGGCAAAGAAAACACGCAGAAAAGATCTGGTTGAGAGAGAGAGAGAGAGAGAGAGAGGGAGGGAGAGAGAGAGAGAGAGAGAGAGAGAAGAGAGAGAGAGGAGGAGGAGGAGGAGGAGGAGGAGGAGTGAGAGAGGAGAGAGAGAGGTGAGTGAGAGAGAGAGAAGAGAGAGAGAGGAGAGAGAGGAGGGAGAGAGAGAGAGAGAAAGGTTGGTTTGGCTCTTTTTTTCCAGCCTCCGTGGGACAAAAACTAACGAAACGGGAGGTCCGGAAGATTTTTTCGGACGCAGAAACTGTTGGCAAAGTCATTGTTAGGCAAATCAGCGGAGCCAAGGCGCAGAGAAAGAAAAGTGAAGATTTATCGCTGAGGTTTTCTCACAGTTGAGGGCACTTTTTTTTTCAAAACAAAACCACCGTCCGTTTCGGGGGGCATATTGAAACTTAGTTGTTTTGGCTTTGTTTTCAGTGTAAGCTTACTCCATCCGTTGTCATCCCGTAAATCTGAGACGACCCGTGCGGAAAAGGTTTCTGGTAGCTTCCAGAGATATTTAGGAAGGTCTCGTTTACAAATGCAAGTGTGTTTAATCTTAAAAGCAATTTGCAAAATTGTTTTCTTCTTACTCTAAGCGTTGGGAGTCATCGCCATCCCTTAAATACCCATTGTCATTCCGAATGCTTATATTTAAATGTTTTGGGTGTGTTTGTGGGTTTCGGGCGCTTTTTAAGCTTCGAAACACATTCCTAGCGTCCCACCGAACTGCGATTAAACGTGGGTAGTAGGGCCGCTGCATTACAGTGCCGGAGCGATCTATTCATTTTCTTTTTAAAAAAAATTCTATACAAGAACGGTTATTTCAGCGGGTCTCTCTAAGCAGATGGGATGGAGCAGAGAGAGAGAGAGAGAAAGGGGACTGCGGAGAAAATGTTTTTAAATCAAAGTAGATTGCAACATCCCCCCTCCCCCCAAAAATCATAAGAAATTATTATTATTATTATTATTATTATTATTATTATTATTATTATTATTATTATTATTATTCCCCAAATATTTTGCGCACCTGGAAAATAACTACAGGGAAGTTGAAGGAACAAATCAGTTACGAGATTTTAGCTTGCTATTAAGAATCATTTGAATTGTTTGGTCTCTCTCGGTGTGTTTTACAAAGGGTCGGGAAGGAGGCCACAGGCAAAGACTCCCCCTCCCGAAAAAAAGCTCGAAAAAAGCGTTTTTAAAGCTGGGAGAAAGAACTTTGCCCGTAGCTGCTTCTCCATACTTCCAATACTTCCTTTTCGCCCCCCCCCACCGCGTTACTCTAACGGTTAGAGGATGGCTGGCAGAGTCGGAGCGCTGACCGGGTCTGGAAGGGGTTAAAACCGATTGCTCGTGAACTTGGGCTCTCTCTGTCTGGATGTTGATGGATGGATAGACTCGGCTGGCAAATTCAGACGGCAAACCCACCCCGCCCCCACGGCCTTTGATGGGCCTGGCAACCCCCGGGAGAAAGGGACAGGCAGAGAGAGAGAGAGAGAGAGAGGGAGGTGAGAGGAGGGAGGGAGGGAGAGGGGGAGGGCAGGGGGAAGAAGGGTGAGCTCCCCATCCTTTTGCTCCCTCTTTTTATTCCCCCCAACCACATTTTGAACAGGGAGAGGCCTTCCGAGTCCACCCCTAGAATCTATCATTCAGTCGGGGGAATGAAAAAAACAGCGGCTTGGACATTGGGTAGGTCGGCAAATGGAGAAGGAGTAGGGGAAAAAAATTCTCTCACCGCAGCAGCGGTTCTGGGGATCCAAACTCTCCAGTTTTCAGCTCTGGACAGTTCCTGTGGCAACACGTTGTTTAACGGGGCCCCTAAGGGAAGGAAGGAAGGAAGGAAGGAAGGAAGGAAGGAAGGAAGGGAAGGAAGGAAGGGAGGGAGGGAGGGAGGGAGGAGGGAGGAGGGAAAGGAAGGAAGGAATAGGGAAGGGAGGGAGGACGGACAGGAGGGAGGGAGGAGAGGAAGGACGGGATGGAGGGGGAGAAAGAAAGAAAGGAAGGGAATGAGGGAGGGAGGGAGGAAGGAAGGAAGGAAGGAGGGAGGAAGGAGGAAGGAAGGAAGAAAGGTAGGAAAGGAGGGAGAAAGGAGGAAGCAATGGAGGGAGGGTGGAAGGAAGGAAGGAAGGAAGGAAGGAAGGGGAAGGAAGGAAGGAAGGACTGGAAAGAGAGAGAGAGAGAGCGGAGAGGGAGGGAGGGAGATTTTTGTGGGCATCGAACACTAGTTCAAAAAGATGCAATGCAGGAAGACTTTCGGTCGGGCTCTCCAATCGGGCCTGAGCCTATCGCCCAGACAGACTCCTATCCCCTTCCTGTCCCCTTCTCTCTTTCCACATCTACCCCCTTTTTTTGGGGGGGGGGTCCCCCTCTCTTCCCAGCGTGCCGAAAAAGCTGGGCGGGAGATCGGCGCTACCGAGCAACCTCCTCACCTCCTGTTCCACCCCGGGCACCTCTTTCAAAGCTTTCCCCACCCTCCCCGGGGCCCGGATTAAACCCACTCCATCTTTAGCCCCTGGAGGGAGTGGTCCGGGATTGGCTTTGGCTGGGGGTGAAGCGCCCACCCCTCCCCACGGCCACCGCCCCCTCCCCACCTGCTTGGCCCTCCTTGCAAACCGCGGTACCCAAGCTCTGGCGCCATCACGCATGGGTACATCTGTTTGTTTTAATCGGTGCCCCCATCAGAGTCTTAATTACGACGGGGAGGGAGGGAGGGAGGGGAGGAGGGGGAGGGGCGAGCAAAACCGCCTGCATCTCCCCCCTCCCTTTGGCTCGCCCTCCCCCTCCTCCCCTCCCCCTCCCTCCCTCCCGTTCGTAGTAAGACTCTGATGGGGGCTCCGATTAAAACAAACAGATGTACCCATGCGTGATGGCGCCTGAGCTTGGGTACGCGGTTTTGCAAGGAGGGCCAAGCAGGTGGGGAGGGGGCGGTGGCCGTGGCGGAGGGGGGGGCGCTTCACCCAGCCAAATGCCAATCCCGGACCACTCCCTCCAGGGGCTAAAGTGGAGTGGGTTTAATCCGGGCCCCGGGGAGGGGGGGGAAAGCTTTGAAAGAGGTGCCCGGGGTGGAACAAGGAGGTGATGAGGTTCCTCGGTAGCGCCGATCTCCCGCCCAGCTTTTCGGCACGCTGGGAAGAGAGGGGGACCCCCCCCCAAAAAAGGGGGGTAGATGTGGAAAGAGAGAAGGGGACAGGATGGGGATAGGAGTCTGTCTGGGCGATAGGCTCAGGCCGCTTGGAGAGCCCGACCGAAAGTCTTCCTGCATTGCATCTTTTTGAACTAGTGTTCGATGCCCACAAAAATCTCCCTCCCTCCCTCTCTCTCTCTCTCTCTTTCAGTCCTTCCTTCCTTCCTTCCTTTCCTTCCTTCTTCCTTCCTTCCTTCCTCCCTCATCCCGTGCTTCCTCCTTTCCTCCCTCCTTTCCTTCCTTTCTTTCTTCCTTCCTTCCTTCCTCCCTCCTTTCCTTTCTTCCTTCCTTCCTCCCTCCTCATTCCCTTCCTTTCTTTCTTTCTCCCTCCATCCCGTCCTTCCTCTTCCTCCCTCCCTCCTGTCCGTCCTCCCTCCCTTCCCTATTCCTTCCTTCCTTTCCCTTCCTCCCTTCTCCCTCCCTCCCTCCCTTCCTTCCTTCCTTCCTTCCTTCTTCCTTCCTTCCTTCCTTCCTTCCTTCCTTCCTAGGCGGTCAACGTTGCCACAGGCACTGTCCAGAGGCTGAAAACTGGAGAGTTTGGATCCCAGAACCGCTGCTGCGGTGAGAGAATTTTTTTCCCCTACTCCTTCTCCATTTGCCGACCTACCCAATGTCCAAGCCGCTGTTTTTTTCATTCCCCGACTGAATGAGATTTCTAGGGGTGACTCGGAAGGCCTCTCCTGTTCAAAATGTGGGTTGGGGGGAAAAAAAGAGGGGAGCAAAAGGATGGGGGCTCAGCTTCTTCCCCTTCTCTCCCTCCCTCCCTCCCTCCTCTCCCTCCCTCTCCTCTCTCTCTCTCTTGCCTTGTCCCTTTCTCCCGGGGGTTTGCCAGGCCCATCAAAGGCCGTGGGGGGCGGGGAGGGTTTGCCGTCTGAATTTGCCAGCCGAGTCTATCCATCCATCAACATCCAGACAGAGAGAGCCCAAGTTCACGAGCAATCGGTTTAACCCCTTCCAGACCCGGTCAGCGCTCCGACTCTGCCAGGCCATCCTCTAACCGTTAGAGTAACGCGGGGGGGGCGGGGCGAAAAGGAAGTATTGGAAGTATGGAGAAGCAGCTACGGGCAAAGTTCTTTCTCCCAGCTTTAAAAACGCTTTTTCGAGCCTTTTTTTCGGGGAGGGGGAGTCTTTGCCTGTGGCCTCCTTCCCGACCCTTTGTAAAACACACCGAGAGAGACCAAACAATTCAAATGATTCTTAATTGCAAGCTATATAAATCTCGTAACTGATTTGTTCCTTCAACTTCCCTGTAGTTATTTTCCAGGTGCGCAAAATATTTGGGGAAAAATAATAATAATAATATAATAATAATAATAATAATTATAATAATAATAATAATAATTTCTTATGATTTTTGGGGGGGAGAGGGGATGTTGCAATCTACTTTGATTTAAAAACATTTTCTCCGCAGTCCTTTCTCTCTCTCTCTCTCTCTGCTCCATCCCATCTGCTTAGAGAGACCCGCTGAAATAACCGTTCTTGTATAGAATTTTTTTTAAAAAGAAAATGAATAGATCGCTCCGGCACTGTAATGCAGCGGCCCTACTACCCACGTTTAATCGCAGTTCGGTGGGACGCTAGGAATGTGTTTCGAAGCTTAAAAGCGCCCGAAACCCACAAACACACCCAGAAACATTTAAATATAAGCATTCGGGAATGACAATGGGCTATTTAAGGGATGGCGATGACTCCCAACGCTTAGAGTAAGAAGAAACACATTTTGCAAATTGCTTTTTAAGATTAAACACACTTGCATTTGTAAACGAGACCTTCCTAAATATCTCTGGAAGCTACCAGAAACCTTTTCCGCACGGGTCGTCTCAGATTTACGGGATGACAACGGATGGAGTAAACTTACACTGAAAACAAAGCCAAAACAACTAAGTTTCAATATGCCCCCCGAAACGGACGGTGGTTTTGTTTTGAAAAAAAAAAGTGCCCTCAAACTGTGAGAAAACCTCAGCGATAAATCTTCACTTTTCTTTCTCTGCGCCTTGGCTCCGCTGATTTGCCTAACAATGACTTTGCCAACAGTTTCTGCGTCCGAAAAAATCTTCCGGACCTCCGTTTCGTTAGTTTTTGTCCCACGGAGGCTGGAAATAAAAGAGGCCAAACCAACCTTCTCTCTCCTCTTCTCTCCTCTCTCTCTCTCTCCTCTCTCTCTCTCTCTCTCTCTCTCTCTCTCTCTCTCCTCTCTCTCTCTCTCCTCCTCCTCCTCCTCCTCCTCCTCCTCTCCTCCTCCTCCTCCTCCTTCTCTCTCTCTCTTCTCTCTCTCTCTCTCTCTCTCTCTCTCTCTCTCTCTCTCTCTCTCTCTCTTAACCAGATCTTTTCTGCGTGTTTTCTTTGCCTTTCTCTTACCTTCCCCGCCGGCCTGCATCCCCACACTAAGTGGGGAAAGCCCGGGGGGGGTCATGTAATCCCCTTTTGCGACCTTCCCACAGGTAAAGTTGTTTATGGGGAAGCCAGATTCACTTAATGTCCGGGAGACTGACTTTTGGCAAGAAAGGTGATGAAATGAGGCAAAACTCACTGAACAAATGTCTCGCTTAGCAACAGACATGTTGGGCTCATCTGTGGTCGTAAGCTGAGGACTACCTGTATAAACGACAAGCAGCCATCGACAAAACTGAGCTTCCGGGTTCAGAAGACGTGTATCTGAACCCTTTGTGGGGTATGATTGCAAACTTAAACGGACTGCACCCGGATCTTCGTGGAATTGTTTGAATTTTTAAGATGGTTTTAGATCTGTTCTTGCTAACTTTAAGACCTGGGGACTTCAGCTCCCAGAATTCCCCAGCCGGCACTGAAAAAAGTGACTTAAAAGTGACGGTCCTCACACTTATGACCGTTGTAGCATCCCCATCATCACGTGATCAAACTTCGGGCACCTGGCAACCGGCACGCTGATTACAGAGTCGCGTGATCACCGCAGCTGTCTTCCGACAAGCAAACTGAACACGGGAAGCCAGATTCACTTAACAACCATACAATCCATTTAACAACCAGGCAAAAAAATCATAAAATCGGGAGCAACTCGCTTAACAACCACCTTGCTTAGCAATGGAGACGCTGATCCCTGTTTATGATCGTAAATTGAGAACTACCTGTAAATCCTGAATCTGGAAACTCAAAGCTCCGGAAATTTAGGATACGAATTCACTGTTTCTCCCAAGCTTTCCCCGAACAATCAGAGGAGCAATCCAGAGACTGGCTCTTCGAGCAGCAAACTTCAAGGCAGAGATGCAATCGTCGCAATAAAATTCACCAACAAGAGTTTGCAGCCCGTCGAGACGCAAGAGTGGTCTGTGAGCCAATTTTCCCCAAGCGACGAGGCTGCATCCATCAACAGTTAAATGCACTAAAGTGACTCTTGGCTGAGAAGGCCCATTTCTCTCGCCTTTATTCCTGATTACAGAATAACAGAGTTAGAAGGGACCCTTGAGATCTTCTAGTCCAACCCCCCGTTCAGGAGGAAACCCTATAGCATTTCACACAGATGGTTGTCCAATCCCTTCTTAAAAACCTCCGGTGTTGGGAGCACCCACAACTTCTGGAGGCAAGTTGTTCTCCCTTTGAAAACAGGGAGACCCCCAACGGAAGCAACCTACCCTAACCCTAATCTTAACCCTAACCCTAACCTGACCAAACTGCTCTTCTGAAGTTCTTAATTTGCCACCAAATGTGAGATCACAGATCCAGAAATAACATGTTTTAAGACAGCCAACCCCTGAATTTGCAGCTCCCACCGGAGTAGCTGGTTGCTTTCCGTCACAGATGTGGGGTCCCTTCGCCTATTTACAGTGAGGGTTGGATAACCAGATGCTTCCCCCCTTCCCCAGCAAGGGGTAAGGCGGGAGGGGCAGCCTTCCTGGCTAAGGGGGTCTTTGCCCCCTGTTAGCACCAGAAGGTGGGCGACCCAGACTTCAGGGCCAGAGATCTCTGCAGAATGGCAATGGACCGTCGTCCCTTCCTGCTTCTTCATCACTTCAATCGCAAATAAATCAAGACAGGAAGCGCCTGTCACTTACTTCTCAACTCCGAGAGAGAATGACATTCCCAGGACGAACGTTACCTAACGGAGCGAGGCCGTAGGAAAACTGTTCAACAACCTGACACGAAGCCAGGAAGATGGAAAGCCTGTTTGCCACGGACGGCTACACGCTTGCAACCTGCACCTGTCTCAGCCCGGCACGCGTACCAGACCCTTTTGCCAGCCGACGAACCCGCCACGGGCCACCCGTCCTCCCTCCGTCCCCCTCCCCACGCATCCAATGCGCGAGCGCCCACGCATACCGATCCGGAGGCACGCACAACTGCACTCGCACCCCGTCTCCCATACCAATACAAAACCCACGCCTCTTGCGCATATAAAATGGAGATCATCAATAGACACGCCGCCTGGCGCATACCAATGGGCAGCCTCCGGAGCTTGGCTAGCCACCTTTGCAAGCTCGGGCAGGGCAAAAGGGGGCAGGGGGCGAAGGCCCTCCCGCGCTCTGCGGAGTCCTGAAACTTTGCAAAGGCACACTTGGGGAGGGGGGAGGCAGGGGCAGGAGAGCAGCGGGAGTGTGTGGGGGGGGGAAGGCAAATTAGGGATTATAAAGAGAGCCTCAGCCCCCATTTGGAAGGGGGCGAAGGGGAAGAGATGGGGGGTCCACGCAGACTTGCCTTTCAGAGGGTGGCCACAAGGAAGAGGTTGAAACTTAACCGCAGTTGGCAGGATGCTAGGAGAGCCGTCTTGGTACCCCAAATCTGAAAGAATCTGGTTGCATCTTTCCAAAGTCTATTCAAAGACTTTGGAGGCTTTTGCCCTGAAGCTTCTGTCTTTCAATAAAATGTGCCAGTCTGAAAAAAATTCAATGTTTTCCTGATCCTCGGCTGAAGGAGCAAAGAGACGGGTTGGGTGGAACCTTTTCTGATGCACCCAGATTACATTCCAAACAGCACAGAGCCACGTTTCCACAGCCCAGGACTTTCTCCCAGCGAACTGATCTCTCGGATCATCTCGTGGTTCCCAGATTTTCAAGTGGGGGTGGGGGGGAGAAAGCAAGGGGGTGCCCTCAAACATGCACCGGGCAACTGCAGGCAGAGCTGACCCGAATGCCTGCAACTCTCTGAAACTGACCTGCCAAGACACCCACCCCCACTCACTCCCCAAACGGGTCGAAAACCCCACAACCGTGGGGTTCACAGGAGCACTCCTGCTTCCAGCTGAGGATTGTGCCAACCCCACCCCCCCACCCCGACGAGGAGGATTTGAACCCACGCCGTCTACACCCAAAGGCAAGCAGCCTTTGAAATGAAACCTCCCCCCCCTCACCTCCCAAATGGCAAAGTAGCAACTCAAACTTACTCGGAAGTGGGTCGCCAAGTGAATGGGGGGCTTTGAAGTATTCCTGCTGCGACCCCCAGCCAGCCAGCCAGCCCTTTTGAAGGCTACCTCCTTCCGTGCTCTCTTCTTTCCCCCCAGCCCCCGTCCATCCTCCAGCAGATTGGAAAGAGCAGAAGAGGGACGGAGCGTGTGACCACACAGCTCTCGCCTCTGCAGAATTTCGGCTCACCGGTGGCGACCACGTTGGTTAGCGTGGCTCAAGCCTGACCTCTCAGGCCTTCTCGGCTCCGAATCTCTCCTGTCCATCTCACTCCTCTCTCCTGCACAGGAGTTCCTGCACCAAATTCCTTACTCATCAGCTCCACCCTACAAATATTGGGGCCCAGATGCTGCAGGATGACCTTTTAGGTCTGCAGCCCAAGCCACCTGACCCCACAGGGGTTGAGTGGGGGGGGCAAGCAGGCTGCCTTCTGGCTCGTCCCTCCTTGGGGGGGGGGGGGTGGAGAATCGAAGGAAAATGTTTCACTGGGGACAGACTTGCTCCTGTCAAATCCTTCTCGGTTTTTTGGCCCTCTGAAACCGCTTGGCCAAGCAAGACCCCAAACCCATTTTCAATGGTGCTTAGCGGTGCCCGGATGGAGCCCCCCCTCCCCTCTCGAAATCACATACAAAGAACCAAACCAAACCCCACTCACAGGACTGGACCCCCTTTGGGATTGGAGAGATGGGTGGGTGGGTGGGATATATATCTTGCGGAGTTTCAAAAGCCGGCCAACCCCGTTTAACGTAAGAATTTGGGTGAGGTGGAAAGAAACAGCAGGCAGAACTAATATTTAGCCCTTCCAAGGTCCTATTTCAGCCTTGTGGGGCCTCCAACACCCATTTCACCATTCTCCCTGGGGGGCTTCCAAAGGGCCCTTTTTCAATGCAACCGCCTGCAAATCAGACCTTCTGCCCAAATTCTACAGCCAAACACAAGTTCTTTCGGCTGCCCAGGCGGGTGAAGGAAGCTGAAATGGCACACAAAATTTTTGCAACAAAAAAAAAAATAAAAAGAGGAATTTAGTGCATGCAACCTTGCAATTCGGTTTCAGGATATCCTTCCAAGCCGAAGATCCTTTTTTTTTGGCGGGGGGTGTCAGTGAACAATTGGGGATCTTCTCCCCCAAAAGAAATAAGTTTATTTTCCAGAAACAGCTCTAATCAATGGCAGCTCCCGAGGAGCCCCCTGAAAGGAGGAAGGAAGTGAGGATCTGCTTTGATCATCCAACCTCAACCATTTCCACCAATCCTTGGGTGGGTGGGGATCAATAAAAGAGCCCACCGGTTCGGCGATCTCAAGGTTCCCCTATTTTGAGCTCTCTCCAGTTGTCACCGAGCTGCCACCAAAAACCGCATAACCAGCAGAGACCCATTTTTGCCAACCAGGATCAGTTCAAAAAACTTGAAACCGAGTCTGCAAATTATTTCTTTCTTTTAAACCTTAAAAATCATTTCCTCCACAGACAGGGAAGGCTATTTCGAACTGGTTTCGCAAAGGCCCATTTCTTTGACCAAGCCGTGCCCCCCCCTCCTCCAGACAAGCGCCCCAGACAGACAGCCCCCCTCCCCAATTCACCCCTGGATCTTCCAGAATGCGCCCCCCCCTTAGATTGCAGATCTGATTCACCTTTGTCTGACCTGCTTTGCCTTTGGGGGTCAAGGCCATCCTTTCCCAAGGCCGGGGTCCAGGGTCTTTTGCCAGAAGAAACGGTCTTGATCGAGGAGGGGCTGCAGAACCCCAAGTTTTGGCTTCTTCATTCATGCCCTGACAACTCCCGGAAGGGATTGTGGAAAAAGCTGCTTGTCATCCAGAGCAGCCGCGGTAGCAGGCGCTGCCTCAGTTTCCCCCCTCCCTTGGCCTTCAGCGGTTGCCGAAAGCAAGCTGGCACCTGTTGCCTCTGGCAAATTTCCAGCAAGGTAAAGAATGCCTCTGAGGGTATGCAGAGTGCCTTTCCCTGACCACTCAACCAGCCTAATCTAACTCTCCCAGATCACCCAGTCAAGGCTGGCGGCTCCCAAATTTGGCCACAGAGTCATTTGCAATTGACCCCTTGACCCAATGGAGGGCATAGAGAGAGCTGTGGGCAAGCGCCTGGCACCAGCAGAGAGAGAGAGAGAGGGAGTTGTAGCTTCTTCACCCAGTTAAACGCAGATTTCTAGTATGGGCAGGTTGTGTTGGATGCCGACACAGCCCGTGTTCCAAATGCATCCATTGCCCAGTTGCCAGCTTGGCACGGAGGAAGGTGAGGAGACCAGACCGCCCCCTCCCCTTTCCAGGTATAATCAGCATGGGTGTCGTGTAGACAATGCAGGTGGCGGGATCGCGGCAAAGAGCCTGCAAGTTTACTACCACGCACGCACCAACACACAAAGAGACACGCAAACCACCCCGAGGCACCGCCAAGCCCCGCTCCGACTCACCTTCCTCCGCCGAAGAGCCGCCGGAGAGAGTCGCGCAAGCCGCGGGGAAGCCTCTTTGCCGCTGGGGGCTCCACCTTGCCTCCGAAGGACCAGCTTCCCCAACCGGGCGCCCGCCAGCTGTGCCAGACTTCCCGAACCCACCGCTGGATGCCCGGGCATCGCGGAGGCCCTTCGGCCGCTCTCTCTCCTTCCTTCCCCTCCTTCCCTCCTTCCTCTTTCCTTCTTTCCTTCCCTCCCTCCTTCCTCCTTGCGGGCCAGGGTCTCTCTCACCCGGACTGACCCCATCGGAGGGGGGCAGAGCGCCCGACCCGAAGCCCCCCGACCCCGATCGGCGCCCGGCACATCCCCTACGGCCGCCGGAGCTGGAGCCGCATCAGGGCAGGAAGCGCCTCCGGGGGTCCCCGAGCCGCCGCGACCCCCGCCGCCTCCCCGGCAAACTTCCCCCGCCAGCCCGGGGCGCTCCGTCCGCCTCCCCGCAGCCCATCGCAGGCGCGCCGGCCCCCTCCCCACAAAGGCTGCCGGAGGAGGGTCCTCCCTTCCCTTCCCTTCCCTCGGGGGGGCTTAACTCTTCCCCCCCCGCCGGCTCCTCCTTCTCCCCCCCGCTCTGCCCGCGACCCCCGACTCTCCCGATGGCGCCCCCAGCCCCCAACTCCGCCCTTCCCGCCACGTGCTCGGGGGGCGCCTCCGGGCGAGACTCACCGCCAGCCGCGCGACCCCCGCCTCCGCCGCCCCCGCCTGGGGCTGGCCGCCCACCGCTGCCTCCGGGCAGCCGGCGGGGCTCCTCCGTGACGGGTCGGTCGGGCTCGGCAGCAGCCCGTCTCCCCTCCTCTCCCGCCGCCCGGCTGGCGCTTTCCCGGGCGAAGAGCAGCGGGCGCCACGTTGCGCCTCCAGCCGCCGGTGGGCAGCCCGCAAGGGTGGGGGGGAGGCAGGCGGGAGGCGCCGGCCAGCCGAGCGGGCTGACGAGGGAACAGGGCTGGAGGAAGCCCAACAGCCGCAGAGACCCCCACCGGCATCCTGCACGCAAGAAGAGAGCGATGCACGTGTGAACGGGGTGTAGGAAACCCACCCGAGTTGGCCGGAAAACAGGAAACTAGGGTGGCTTCAAAATCGACCCGAGTCTTGGAAGTGGGGGCGCAGGGGAGAACTTCTGCCTTCACCCAGCCACCCCCCACCCCACACACTTTAATCTCAGGGGATCAGACCCAACTTGCAAAGAAGACTCTGCAGAAGGTGGGGAGGTGGGAGATCCAGGATCCCACCTGCACGGGTGACTGATTGCACTTGGCACCTTCCGTGGGTCTCTAAGCCATGGCTTATGGGAGGGCCCTCATCTTTGGGCCCCCAAGAGTGGTTCCTTGCAGCAGGGGGGGATTGATTAGGTAGACCTCTGCTTTCCCAGCTCTGCCCCCCTCCCCATTAAAGGCCTGCTAAGAGTGGCCCCCATCTCCGAGAGTCCAGTCCACCTGCCTCTGAAGGCAGCCGAGACCCACAATATGTGTGACACTCGTACCACACTCTGTGGACTGAGTGAGGCAGGACTTACCTGTTGCAAAGGGATGGCAACAAGGCGTCTCTTGAACCCATGTCCGACCTTCTGCTTTGAGCCACAAAGCCACCGATTTCCCCACAAAAGGCTGGCCTGGATCAGAATCTTTTTAAAAGATATATAAATATATATATATTAAAAAAGGCTGGCATGACCCTTTCCAATCCTCATGATCTGGCAAAGAAAGTCCACATTTTGTTAGAATCTTGTCACATTTGATTTTTTTCAAGGATTCTCAGGCGAACGTCCATCCAGATCTGAGAATGGACGGATTCTTCCTTGGTTAGCAGGACAAAGAATTTCATTTTCGGTTTTATGCGCAGCTCTTCAGATTCACACGCGTTGGCCATCATTCAAAGGAAAGATAAAACATTCATGGTTTTTCTTTCGTTTTCTTTTTCCTCCTTGCAGTCTCCTCCGTTTGATTCCCTCCAGCTCAAACTCCTTCTCTGAGCTAGGCCAAGAGGTCGGTCCACGGAGGCTCACGGGGCACAGGTCACGAGAATATAGATAGATAGATAGATAGATAGATAGATAGATAGATAGATAGATAGATAGATAGATAGATAGATAGATAGATTGCTTCTTCCTGGGAGGGAGGGATTTTTTAAAAAATGGAAACTGGGCTAGGATGGCTGAAAACTGAGGCAACCGAGAGGATGCCAGCGTGGCTAAACAGCAGGGTCAAGTAAAGCCTTTGGGAGCTAGCTTCAATAAATAGAAGCCTCTGTCCAAATTTGCACGAACAAATTATCTCAGAAGCAGCCTAGAAGCCTGGGTTTGCAAGAGATCTTAGAGGTCATCTAGCCCAACCCCTCTGCCCAGAGTAGAAATCCTCAGGCTTCCTCAGGCAAATGGCTGGTCCACCTTTGCTCAAAACCCTCCAAGGACGGAGCCCCTTTGACCCCTGGAGGCTCTCAGGTCAGGAAAACCCTCCTTATTTCAAGCTCAGATTCTCCTTTTTCCTTAATAGCTTCTCCCCCTCCCCCTTGGGAGCTTTGGAAAATAAATTTATTTGTTTGTTTAATTTCTACACCCACCATCTCACCTAAGTAACTGTAGGCGCTTTACAGAGGCATCATAATTGCATAATAATATGCTGTTTATAACAGCCCAATTACGGCATAAAGTGCCTAGATTAGCCCCAAGGAGAAATGGGCAGCAAATAAATTTAATTTTATTAATTCAGTTTAATTAATAAGACAACCCTATAAATGCAGGAATCAAAACACAGCAGAGAACCAAAGTTAAAAACAAATTAAAATTTACAAGCAAAAAAAAAAAAAAGAGCCAGTTTGGTCTAGTGGTTTAAGGCACCAGGTTAGAAAGCGGTAGTGAGTTCAAGTCCCACCTTAGGCATGAAAGCTTCCTGGGTGACTTTGGGCCAGTCCTTCTCTCTCTCAACTCAGCCCACCTTGCAGAGTTGTTGTTGCTGGGGGAAAAATAGGAGGAGGAAGACGTGTTAGATATGTTTGTCGCCTTGTGTTATTTGTAAAAAAAATAATAAAGGCAGGATACAAATAAAGAGGAAGGAAGGAAGGAAGGAAGGAAACGAAGAACGGTTGCAGGAATTGGGTATGTCTAGTTTAATGAAAAGAAGGAATAGGGTGATTGATAGAAGTCTTCCAGTATTTGAGGGGCTGCCCCAAAGAAGAGGGGGGGGTCCACCTATTCTCCAAAGCACCTGAAGGCAGGACAAGAAGCAACGGATGGAAACCAATCAAGGAGAGAAGCAACCTAGAACTAAGGAGAAATTTCCTGACAGTTAAAACAATTAACCAGTGGAACTACTTGCCACCAGAAGTTGTGGGTGCTCCATCACTGGAGGCTTTTAAGAAGAGATTGGACAGCCATTTGTTAAATCAATCCAGTCGATGGTCTGGCCAATGGAGGCTGGTGAGATGGAGGCAGCTGGAGCCAGGATGCGGTCGGATTCAGGCTCCACCCGAAACCCGAAGAGCGGAGGGGAAGCAGAGGAAGGGGTGTCCTGCGTTTATCTCCCTGCCCCGCCCCCTCCCCCCATAATTGGGCCTGATGCATGCAAGTAAGTACATCTCCAGGAAGGGGTGATTGGCAGCCCAGGACATAGGAATGCTGGTAGATGAGCGGATAATGGACATCTGTCAGCCGCAATAGCCGAGGATGGCCCATCGTGTCATCCTGGGCTTGATTGACAGGTCGTGGCTTCAGGAGGGCAGAGATCATCAGCAGCCCCATGGAGGTGAGCAGAGCGAGGGGGCAGATTGGATAGCCCCACTCCTTTGATGCCCAGGGCTGGATTCCTTCCATCCCCTTCCTCTCCCGGTTTGACAAATCAACATGTCAGGCGTGGCAGCTGTCAATTCCGAGGTGTTATTGTTTTTTTTAAAAGAATCCGTCTTTTCTTGATGTGCGGCACAAAAGGGAAATGTTTCTCCCCAAGCAGGTTCCAAGCAGACGCCGTGGGAAATAAAATGGAATTGGCAAAGCTACCTTTGCTCAGATTATAGGAATTTCTTTCTTTCTTTCTTTCTTTCTTTCTTTCTTTCTTTCTTTCTTTCTTTCTTTCTTTTCTTTCTTTCTTTCTTTCTTTTTCTTTCTTTCTTTCTTTCTTTCTTTCTTTCTTTCTTTCTTTCTTTCTTTCTTTCTTTCTTTCTTTTTCTTTCTTTCTTAATTTCTTTCTTTCTTTCTCTCTCTCTCTCCCTTCATTCCTTTCTTTTTTTCTGTTCCTTTCTTTCCTCTTTCAATCTTTCTTTCTCTTTCTTTCTTTCTGTTCCTCCTTCCTTCCTTCCTCTCTTTTCTTTCTGTTCCTTCCTCTCTCCTTCCTTTTTTTCTTTTTCTTTCTTTCCTTCCTTCCCTTCCTTATTCATTTAGCGACTGTTCAAAGTCACCATGAAAGTGACTTATGGCTAGTTCTCGCACTTACGACCGTCGCAGCATCCCCATGTTCAAATGATCAGAATTTGGGTGCTTGGAAACTGGCAGGTACTGACGACGGTTGCAGCCTCCCAGGGTGGGTGTGTTTGTGTGTGTGTGTGTGTGTGACGTGATCGCCATTTGTGACCTGCCCAGCCGGCTTCCAAGAAGGAAAATCCACCGGGGAAGCCAGGTTCACTTAACAGCTGCAGTGATTCACTTAACAACCAGGGCCAAAGAGGTGAGAAAATGGAATGCGATTCACTTAACAACCGTCTCGCTTAGCAATGGAAGTTCCTGTCCCAATTGTGGCCATATGCCGAGGACTATCCGTTGTTGTTTTTTTTTGGGGGGGAATTAGTCCTTTTCTCCAAGCACTTTTCAGAGACCCAAATGGGGGTGGGAGAGAAAATGCCCACCCCCCCTTAACCCCCCCACCCCACATTCCTTCCATTTCGGGAGCTGGATTTCCCCCCCCCCAGCCCCATCGAGCAACCGGTAGGATGGGCCACCTCCAGATTTTGCATCTACCTTTTGGCTGCTGAAGAGATGGGGAGGGGGGGTTCCCTTCTTTCCTTCCTTCCTTCCTTCCTCCTCCCCCCCCCCCGCGATGCGGCTTCTTGAGTGTATTTGTGCAAGTGGCAGAGCTCTCCTCCAAGCGGTGGCATGCATGCCCAACCAGAGAGGGGAGCGTCCGGTGATGCACGGGGGAGGGGGG